GTAAAGGTGCACGATGTTTAGCAAATGATTAACGTGTACCACTGGCAACAAGGAATCATCGTCCAAAATGTTTGCACGAATGCGCCTACGCATAATTTGCATCTCCAAAGGCCAGAATGTTAAGGAAATCTGTTCCGGTGGGAAAATACCTGAAGGTTTCGTTCATTTTATGTGAGTCAACCTTTTCCACAATTCGCGATTTTTTATCGTCCGGTAAGGTTTTCAAAGCCGGCGATGTTTATTCACCTGAGGATTTAGTTCACTTAAACAAATTGCCATAGTAAAGGATTTTCAATAATACAGGAGCGTATACATTATACATAGACATTCTACACCATGAAGTGGTAAGTCTAAAAATGCCCTAGATTTCGAGAAAGCAATATCATTGTGCCAATAGCCAGTGGCAGTCATTCAAGATTGGAGGCAATTTTAAATATATATGTAGTTGCAACAGGAAAGAAGTGGTCACCAGTCCCCGAAGCATCGCCATCAGATCCACTTGACCATCCGCCCTGAGTTCACTATAAATAGCATAGATAGGCAAGAACGCAGACGTATGATCACGTTGGGCAGTTGCTAGCCACTTCAAATGGAGTAGCGCGTATGGCTGTGGCCATATAAGCGACGCAGCGCATGGATACGGGCCCAAAAAATATGGTAAGTAGCAAAGCAAGGCGACCGCGCATATTGTTATCACGATGACCAGTAATGATTGACTTTATTTTCCGCAAATTTGAACTAGCTTGGTATCGTTTTCTAACTGAAGGGCGGGATTATTCCTAATGGGAAAGATATTGCTGTGCAGTTATTTCATAAAGATGCACCATCTGCTGACTTGTCAGAGAGTGAAGGTTATCCACGATAGTTCAGTGGGTATTCTGTGGATGATATTTCATCTGTGAAGTACATTGTAGGATGCTACGATACGCCGAAGTTGGATTTCGTGCTTCATCTCGTGTACCGGTAATGAAATTAGCTGTGGAAGCACCACTGAACAGTGATTCTCTGAGAGCGGGTGTTCACGACAGTTTCTGTGGATGGAAAACAGAAAGAAAGCCTATAAGCCGAAGCCCAGTAAGCTAGGTTACGCAGTACCAATACTTACACATAAATCAAACTAACAGACAGCGTATAATGCACCCGCTCATTTGTACAAATTGTCATGAGCGGCATATCAGCAAAATTTGCAGATGGACTAGACTGTCACCCTGTAAAACTTGCAACTTCGAAAAACAAACAGTTCTGTCCAAAATAATTTCAGTTTACTTGTAGTAAGCGACACACTGCATCTAGTTCCTAGTTCAGAAACTACTTTGTACGTCTTCTCACTTGAGTCCTCTTACTGGCAAGATTACTGCCCCACGCTGAGAAATTAAAGAGCACTGTTCCACTTTTTTCGGTTGTGCCTTTCAGGTTAACAATGGCCGCTGAACTGCAAGAACAAGCCCTACCCGGGATGTTTGGTCGAAAGTCTCAACTCTGTGTATCAATCTCTGGATCCATAGGAAATGATTTATCATTATAACATTTTTTCCCTCTAGTGGTATGCCCACGCACTTGACACGCTAGAAGGAGACTACTCTAGCAGCTATCAAATATTTTTCATTCTTAGTATGATCTCTTTACCATTTCAATACTAGTGGCATTTTTGTGTCATCTTTGTTTTAACCAACTAACCACATGCCCACTTTACAGGAAAAGACCTTGGGCGTTTTTGCTGAGTGGCTGTGATGGGATTTTGGGTGAACACTACTGGCTGGCGCTAATTTTCAACGGGTACAAAGATTTTAGCTGCAAACTTCAACCTAACCCCTCATACCAGTTGATTTACAGTACGCCTACTGGAGGTTTGAGAACCGGATAAGTAGAAACTTCTTTCCGTGGTGATTTAAAGGAATACAAATCCTTGGAATTTCCTCCTGTGGACTGAGTCAAGATTTCCGGAGCATGGAGGTATTGTTCCGGTTTCACCTCTTGTCATATGCTTCCAGTTCCTCTCTCAACCGCCGGTGGTGCTGAGCCGGGATAGACCGCGAACCCCCTTGTAATTCGCTCGGTTATTTTTTGACGTTGAACATTTAGAACACCGTTTGCAGGATCTCATCAATTCAGAGTGTGGGTTCCGAAGGCCGAATCGTCCGCGGATGGTATATCTCGCAGTTCCGGTTATGGCCATCAGGTATGTGTGCACATATGGTGTAATCGCCACTAGGTTATTGAGTCACACCGTTCCCCAATGGTCTACGTGCAACGCAATCGCAGATGGCCCCTTGCGGTTGCCTTCCGACCGGCAATGACACCAGTGGCCTATCGCTTGCGCGTCCTTCCCCGTTTCGTGGATGCAGACCGTGCTGATGATGTAATCGAGACGTAAGTGTTTTGCAACATTTATCATGATAATCTTCCTAGGTGTAGCAAACATTTCGACAAGTCATCAAAGAGCACAAAGGATCGGTCATTCATCCATCTGCTAACTCCGTTGGCTGAATACGTAACGGACAACACGGGGTGCGGTCTTCGCACTTCTCAGATTTCGGTGTTGTACCCCCTCGATGTGCTTGGGCTTCTGAAGCGTTCCCAGGCTGATACTA